AAAAAAAAAAAAGGCCCCCCCAGCAGGTCAGAGGCAGCAATTAATGGGAGGTGGGGCTGTGCAGTTTGGTCTGGCCTGGCCAGGTGGGGGGAACCCCTCCCCAGCCTGTAGGACTCTCTCTAGCTGGATAGACCCATTTCCAGGGGGGTGGGCTCCATTCCCCTGCCTCCCCCCCTTCTTTTCGACCTGGCTGACAGGTGCAGGCAGGACACAGGTCAGGGAGCAGAGGCTTTGCTGCCTCAGTTTCATGATAGCTCAGGTTGGCCAGGGCAGAGGAGTGCTGGGGGAGGCTAACCCACCTGCCCTACAACATAACTTGAGACAGGAGGGGATCTGGAACACAAATTTGATAGGTTTGTCTAACCTAAACTGATTAAATCTGATACTACATCCATCCAGTTCTATCTTAAACTGGGTTCTACCATTTTGAAATTGGTCTGTGTGTCCTGAACTTCTGTTCTGTTACAGGTTTATACTAGTTTCCAGTCATTTTTACTGGTTTATGTGTAATTTCTGTACCTAGCCATTATGGCTTATTAGATAGTGTGCTTACAAATCTTAAGTTGGAGTCTGATGAGCTGTGGGACTGACCTTCTCTTTCTCTCTATCTCGCTCCCTCTTCTGTTGTCCCTACAGATCCTGCAAGCTCTTTGAGTGCCAAGTGGTGAATGATGGGCTGGAACATCTTCAGCACACCATGAAGATTGACTTTGCTTTTACTCTCTCAAGAGTTACGTGCTTTATGAGTTCACCACCACAACTGCTGCCTCGTTGCCATCGCTGTCAGGTTCACTGCCGCTTCTAGGAAACTGGAATTTGAGGATTGGCTTCCACCTCTGCCTTTACTCTCTCCTTAAATCAACCAGTTTCATCTTCGTGTTTTCTACTGAAACAAGAACACCTTCTGTGTTTTTTGCCATTCGCGAAAGTTCACCACCTGGAGAATTCTTTCCATATGCCCTCTCCTCCTTGGATAAAGGCCTCCGGATCCTAACGGATAGCTGAGATCTTTCCTTGGAGAGGTGAATTCTCCTTCTCAGTCACATCTGCACACACTCTCTCTCTCTGTATCTCCCTGTCTCTGATTTTCTCCTGCTTCTTTGGCATTTACTGGTTATACTGTTCGTTACTGGGATCCTCATCACCAGTGCTGTGGCTTTTATTTTTCTCACAGGGAAGATTATTGCAACAATGGGATTCACACTCCACTCTGTCTGCTTCACCCTGAAGGTGAGTTTACTGCTGGGATCCTTGCTGGGCCTCTGTCTGGGCCTGGAGTTCATGGGACTCCCAAACCAGTGGGCCCGTTACCTCCGCTGGGATGCCAGTACTAGGAGTGACTTGAGTTTCCAGTTCAAGACCAATGTCTCGGCTGGGCTGCTCCTCTACTTTGATGATGGTGGTGTCTGCGACTTCCTCTGCTTGTCCCTTGTTGATGGGCGCATCCAGCTTCGGTTCAGTGTGGACTGTGCTGAGACCACAGTCATCACAGACAAGCAGGTCAACGACAGCAATTGGCATTTCCTGATGGTCAGCCGCAACCACCTCCGGACGGTGCTAGTGCTGGATGGCGAAGCTAAACCTGGTGAGGTGCGCCCGCAGCGCCAGTATATGAACATTGTCAGTGACCTCTTCATGGGTGGTGTCCCATCAGACATCCGGCCTGCTGCCTTGACTCTTGACGGTGTCCTGAGTGAGCCCCCATTTCAAGGATTTATCCTGGACCTGAAGTACGGCAACTCAGAACCTCAGCTCCTGGGCAGCCATGGGGCTCGGCTGGACATGGAGGGGCTCTGTGCAGAGAACCCTTGTGAGAATGGTGGCACTTGCTTCCTCCTGGACAGTGAGCCTCACTGCGACTGCTCAGCCACTGGATATGTTGGCAAACTCTGCTCTGAAGGTAAGAGGGCACCTCCTTCCTTCCCGTCAGGTTTTTGCACAACTCCATGAATTGATTTGGCATTTGGAATGACTCTATTAAACCCAGTGTTCCTAGAAGAGCTAAGGTGCTCATCCAAACGCTAGGCATTCTTTCTGCCATTGGAAATGGCAAAGCTGGGGGGCATTTGTGATGTGAGGTGCCTGTCAGAGGGGACATAACATTCAGAGTGTGGGACAAATTATCAGCTCTAACTTGCTAATGGGGTTAGAGAAAATAAGTTAACAAGTACCTGTGCACTTGAGTTACGCTGGAGGTTGATTAAACACCAGACTTTCTGATTGGATATCATCTTTTTGTCCAATAAATCCAGTAGGTTCAGATGAATGCATTCAAATCTGACCTACTGATGCCATGGTCTTGCAAAAGTGAGGCAATCCTTGGTATGTCCCACTGCTACTTAGAAGAAGCCCCTTGCTCTGCCTGGATGAAGTTATTCCATTTTGGTTATTCCCAACACCTGGTTCAGATCATTTTGGGCCCATTGGAACAGCCCAAAAGGGATTTGAGGGTGTTACTGGACTTCCCATTTCCTATTCAAAATGGAATCTCAGGTGCCAAACACGTGAAACCCCATGATGAGACAAATGGCAGGGCATGTTTCTCAGTCTTCTCTTACAATGTCATGGTAACTGGCTTCTACCAGCAGGCCCTGCTGTTCAAGGTCTCCATATAGACAAGAGACTTGGATGGCCAATGAAAAGAACATCTCACTGAAGTGACATGCTGAGATGATTCCAACCCAAAATGGGGACTTGGGACATCTTAGGAATAAGCTGGCCAGAAATTCCACTCAACTCTGGGGAGCACCCCTGCCTTTTTCATCCACGTCCAGGAGTTTCTAGATGGTTACTCACCCAGAGCAGGGGAACCTTGCTCATTCTATACCAAGGATACACAACTCAAATGTTATTAAGGGCCACTTTCAAGATGCCCCTTTTTTGTAAGAGGTGGAGGGCTAGTACTAGTGGGATCCTCTGTAAGTGGATGTGAACCCCCAGCATGTTTGCTTGCAGGAAACTGGACCTCACATGCAGATGAAAATTAGCAAATCATTATGCAACGGGGACACAGGGCTTGTTACTTGCTTTTAAAATCCTTTTTCATGTAATAAAGGGGCCTAATAATGAATTAGGGTGAGCCACTGGGATTGCCCTGGCAGGCCATAGGCTGGAGATCCTTGCTGTTGAAGAGTGGGACTTGTGTAGGATGGGGTGATAAGCATACATCTGATCTAGGACATGATCCTCAGAGATTCTCAGTATCCCAAACTCCCACTGACTCTCCAGTTGTAAGGTGAAGCGTTCAGTATCATTCAGGACCAGTAATGAGAGAGGATCATTTGCTGAGCTTCAGCCTTAGATGATCTGAGACTGCAGACATTGCTTGATGCAAGTAAGCAGATCTGTAGTATTACTGCTGAATGTGTGGGCCTGTTACTTACAGAGCCAAAACACTTGTCAAAGGGAGCTTTGGGTAATAGAAGACTGCAAGATCCACACTTGAATTTGGCTTCTGAAAGCTAAAGAAAAGAGGCTCTTCCAAGTTCCTGAGCTAATGGATCAAGACTCCACAGGGAACTACTTAAGATATCAACAGCATATGGCTTTCAGCCTGTCTTGAAAAATTATATAAGCAAGTACGGCTCCTGCCCACTTGGGGGCAGTGTTAATAGCTCTGGCCAGGGGTTGGATGATGGAACTTCCACATGTCTTTGGAGGGGTGTGTGACATGCATCTTATGGGGCATATGGTACAGATTTCACAGACCAGACAACATGGTCGTTGCATGTAAAAACATGGCTCACCATTGCTGTTGGATTCCTGTAATGATGTCTTAATTTCCAACATGACCTACTCTTTATTCTGAAGAGAGAAATTTTATCTTTGGGATTTTTACATTTCCAAATCCTTGCTAACCATGGATTATTTGTTGAGATATGAGATGCTTGTTGTGCAGGAAACTTTCATCTTGGAGCCAACGTCAGAAATTGTCTTCACAGTCTCTACCTTATTTCTTCTCCTTTCTTGCTATTATGCCATGATGCATGCTTTTATTTATTTTAATTTTTTGTAAGTAACCTTGTTCTCTTCTTCCCTTGCCTCTTCTACCCTTCACTCGATCAGGCAGCAAAGCTGTAATCTAACAACTGCGACATCCATGTCGACTTTGTGTCATATGGTATCATCCTGTCAGCACTGCAGCCTCACTGCAGGCTAAGGGAAAGAGGAGAAAGGGAGAGGCAAAGTTTTAGCAAGCTGAAACAAGCAAACAAAAAGTGGCAAGAAAGCAGAGCAGTGGAACAAGTGAAATCTCCAGTCCTGTTTTACCTGGATTTTTTCCCCCAGCACAAAAAGTATTTTAAATGACCTAAATCTGGTAAAACTTCCATCCTTTACACTGGGACAGGGGTTACAGCCACTCTCTGTAGATTGCTCAGCTCTTGACCCCTTGCTTTTTTTTTTCCCCTAGAGAGTGTTTTGTTGCCAGCACTAACATTATCATTCTGGTTTATTTCCTTATCCTGCCCTGGGATCTTTACGGAAGTGTTGTTTAACATGAATAATTTATTCCTGATCTTCCTTGACTTTTTTTTTAAAGGAGATGTTTCCTTTTGAATGGACATCAGCAGCTCCTCTTTCATGGATCCTTAATTCATTTATACAATTTGTCGGCCCTTTAATTTGTGTGTGTATTTTCAGCCAGTCATCAGCGGAGTTGGCTCTTTCATTGGGAGCTGATGGGACCCAATTGATTAACTTCTGTTTTAATAGCTAAATGCAATATGTACTTTTTTAATAACGAGTTTTCTTGACAGGGTTTAGGCCATTACTCAGCTATTGATTGATACCTGTGTCTGCAGATGGTAAAACCACAACAAACTCATTTATCCTGTGGCCAGAAAAAGAAATAAAAAATAAATACTGAGTGGAACCTGCTGCCCATGAACTGTGGTGGAATGAAGCTCCATTTACAGTATTACAAATTATTTTAATGCAAAGTGCAGTTCCAGTTCCAGTGAACCTCAGCGCAGGGTGAAACGTTCTGTGATAAGGCAGAACTATAAATCTTCTGAAACATATGACCCAATGTTCAGAAAACCATGGGGGCATTCAGTGCCGAGTATGTGTGCACAATTATCAAGACCGCAGATGAGTGGCCTATTGGTTGTTTGTGTGTGCAATTTCTGTGGTGCGGTGGGTCAGGTATATGTGCAAATGTGTGCACAACTCTGAAAAGCTGGCCATTCAAAAGAACATAGGAATAGATAAATGGTGTGCTTTGGTTTGCTAAATCTGACAGTCCTCTGGACCACAAAAGGGTGCTCTCCTGAGTAGTTGTTAAACTGCAGATTGTGGGGCAATAGTGGCATCAGTCACGAAGCTGAAGTTAGAGCTCTACCCTTTTGCCCTCAGGTAAACAGTTCATTCTTTCTGGTATCAGCCTTTCAGTACTGGAATAACACACAGGTGTGTTTATACTCCAGAAAGTCCTTTCCTATAAGCATCTCTTTTGTGTTCTAAAAAAGGGGAGACCAAGGCACAGTGTAGCTGCCTAAATTGCCACACTGGTGCACTCAGCCAGTAGTGCCTGCCCAGTCAGGGTCACACTACAGACTCTCAACATATCAAGGTACAAATGTTCTCCTCTTCCACATCCATGCAGAGAGGACGGATTCCCTCATTTGCATCAGTCCAAGGGCACCCTCAAATGTATAAGCTGTTATTTGGGTCCCATATGTACTACAGACTTCACCCATATGCCAAGACCTCTTCCGGGCCCTGCAGGGGAAGGGGAAGGTGAGCAAAAGGTGTGCCTGGAAACTCCATCAGCTCACTTAGTGGCTGTGCAACCTTGAAGTCGATGCTATCACCAGCTTCACGAGGCAACACACTGAAGCCTGTGTGCTGCCTGCTGGGGCTGTTTCTAAACGAAGCCTGAATAGGGGCCTGATTGCGCCTCTTCCCTTGATTACAGAGCAAGATTTCCTGGTGATGCTGCCTGCTGAATGACAGAGGAGACTGTCGCTCTGTAATTATTATACTTTTAACTGCAGAGGGAACAGATTTTTGTATAGCCTGAGCTCCATTTAAAGGGGCAAGGTATTGCAGGGTTTATGTTCTTCCCATGTGCCCCACTGTGGTAGCACAGCCTTCCTGATCTGGCTAGTACCAACGAGAACTGCCTGGCTGTCTCCTGCAGGCACAACTTGCCCCTGCCAGCCACCCCAAATTTGCAGCACTAAGGGCTGGGTTGGTACATTGCCAGGAGCCTGATGGCTGCACTTAATTTGCATATACATTTACATACATTTGTAATCTAAAACAAATGAACATGACCATAATATTTGCTTCTACTTGCACATTCCCTGATAGATGAATATAAATTGCCAGTTGCGTGAATTCACCAGCAGTAAACAGCTGCAGAGTCTTTGCTTGGTTCTTGCCCTGAAGTGATAGGGGGAAGGTGGGCAGTACTTGGCTGCACTCTGAGCAGCCCAGATCTTTTCTCTCCAGTGCAAAACTCTAACGAATGAAACAGGTGGCAGTCCAAGAGTGTCAAGTAAACATGGAAAGATGAGTCCTATGGAGCTTCTGGAAAACCTAGGTGCCCCCTCAGCTTTTGGGCCAAAGGACACGGGGCTTAGGAGCAGGAAGAACACAGCTCCTGCTTTGGGTTTTTATGCTTCCTTATTTCTGCCACTCAGTCTCCCTTTTCCTTCTTTTACAACCTCCCCGGGGATTAAATTTCTTTGGCAAAATTTAAAAAAATAATGATAATAATTTTCCCATCATATTGTAGATTTTTGGTGCTGTGCCAGATGGGCACTAGAGAAATAAGATGTGTTAAGATATATTAATTAACGTTTCTAAAGTGCTTGGAAGCTCCAGAGTGCAGTGTAAGCACCATTTATTATTGTGAACAGTACATAGTAGTCAGGAGCTGGAGCCTGGGAGTTT